CTGACACTCTGACAGCATCTCCATAGGGACAATGATACTTTCTTTTGCAAAGCACTGTGCTATCTGCAAAGCTGTATAAGAACTAAGTGTTATTATTAGAGATGGGAAAGGCCTATTAGATCATCTGTCCATCTCTGATATAACAGAAAATGACAGTGATTTGCTGCTGTGATTTGACAGTGATATTTGTAAAAATGTCCTTTCCTCTTAACTCTCTGCAAGTTTCAGTGCTGACGATTCAATAAGCTAGACGGCTTACTAACTTTGTCAGTCTCCAACTTCTGTGAAGCATACTGAGGTATTAAATATATCTATTTCAGGCCCACTTTTCCATCTCCTTCCTTCAACTTTTATTTTTTGAAAAGGAAGGAATGCCCATGAATAGCGCATGTCAAGCTTCACAGAATTGGTCTTCCACTCCCCATCTGCAGACCGCTTGCATCTCACTCCTTTGCAAGGCAGTACTGTAGCATCTCTCCTGCTTGGGATTGTGCATCATGTAGGAGAGAAGCTGTTGTGCATCTGGTGGTGTTTTCCAACTCAGAAGCCATGTACAAAATATACCCATCACAACCCACTGTGATACGAGCATGCATCCATCATGTAACCTGTCCATGGTGGATGCCTGATCAGATAATGCATAGAGTCTTATGTGATGGCAGCCATAAGAGTTCTGCAGAACTCTTGGTGGTGGATACTGGCAGGTTGAAGATCCTTCTCCTCATGGAATAAGGCTCTGCTTCTCCACTGCTTTCAAGGGAAAGAATTGTTTCTGCTCTTCCTTATATTCCCTAAAATTTCTTGAATGTTTGCTACAACAGGTTTTCAATTTAAGTGCCAATATAACAAAATGTCTGGAGGGAAATCAGTTGAAGTATTCAGAAGATGACTCTCAGTATGATTCACACTGCTGTGAGCAAAGAAGAGGTCTGTCTGGCCTTCTGTACTGCAGTGATTACAGATATTAGATGCAGTGTGTACTCAGATAAAGTTAATGGCAGTGACATCTGGTAGATGACACAGAGGAGCAAACTCCTATCATCTGTTTTTTAACACTGTGCCCAAACCATTATATGTCAGACTTGGTAAAAGTGAATAATCTTTCAGTATCTACCACTCTTCCCTCCCATGCTCTCAGTCATATGAGACTGAAGGACTGCTAGATAAATCACCTCCATATATTCACAAGGACAGCAGAGCTAAAAGCAGCCACGGAAAAAGGATTCAAGGTATGCAGCTCATTAGTAGTGGCCTCCCTAATATTTAGCAGTCATTGTACACACTCGTACATTCCCAAAACCCTCTCACAGTCATAACAAATGCTTACATAAAGCCTCGTACCTTCAAAGTGCTTCACCAACATAAATATATTAATAAGACCTTTCCCAGAAGAGAATGCAGTGTCAGAGAGATGCCATTCAAATGGCTGGGCTGTGAGAGGTAGAGCTTCAAATATTTCATTAAAACTTCATCCTTTGCCATCAATTTCAAGCCCATTTTGAAAAAAGGATGGAAAGTACAGTGGAGCTTTATGAGCAAAAAGAAGAATAACTGCTTGTAAAATGATTTTGCCCTCTATGATTGCAGTGTTAATTAAATTGTATATTCTGTAATGTGCATCAAATGAATTCTACATAAAGTGAAATAAAAATAAGATTTTTATACTTAGTTTCACTGATGCCACCTAGATGGTTCTTTCAAAGTGACTGGTGACAATTGCCACTGATGTGCTTTGGTATACATCTTATTTAGGGGTCATAATTATAACATTAAGGATAGTTTGACATCTGATACTTAATCACAAACATATTTAGAATTCTAGTTAGCGCTAGGTTGTTAAGAACTGACAAGCTTACCTAAGTGCTGTAAGGGCAAAAAAGGAAATAAAACATGTCATTCTTCAAATATTGCAGACCACATACAGATGTGTTTTTCAAGGACAAATTCATTACGCAATTATAACATGTAGAATAGTCTACAAAAGTTTTTTTGGTAGTAATAGAATTGCATTTGTCATACATTTTTGGATTAAATCCAGTTGCTTATGTTTTAATTCATTTTTTATTATGTTTTCTTACAATTAGTAAGCCAGACTGCCATATTGTGTTCATGATCACTACCAAGAGACAAGCATGTGTCTGTTGCCACACATCTGGCATAGGTAAATCATGCTAGCCTTTGTATGTGCAGTACTGTATTTGCTAATTCTGAAGCCAGGGTACTGCTCGGTCATAACTGTATCTGCTGTGAATTCTGCAACGTCTGCTGTGTCAGCCGATAACAGGTTTATGGAGGTAGGACCTCTCCCACCTCTCTTGGTCCCCTACTTATTATCTTACAAAATCTGCTAGAATTTGTATCGCATCTTTGCTGTCAAGCAGAGGCTGGAATATTGAAGATGGTGAGGTACTTGGCCGTAGTCAAGTATGAATGACATTTCCTGGGAAACACAGATGCCAAACCACTGACAGATGTAACTCTCTTGGTTCTTGGTAGAGATTTCTTTTCCAAATTGGGCTAAGCAATTCTTTGAATCAGGCTCAACACATATATGACAGAAGTAGAGGTTCCATAACAGAGCAAAAATAAGTGAAGACCTTGTGGATTAAATACACTTGACTGACCTATATCTTGAGTAACTAGTTTCTGTGGGGTCACTTTTTATTTGTACAGTAAACTCAGGAGCTGTTGCAGGAAAGCTACAACTAATATATAGAAAACTAAGATTAACAAGGTCTCCAACTAACCTAAGTTATGATATTTTTCCATATTTATTGGATACCTTGCATGCTTATGAGCATAGAGATGCAAAAATGGAACAGGCGACCTCCAGTATTATGAAAAAAAATTTAGGGAGTTGGTTCAAGCACAGTTTTTCTGGATGTTTTCATAGGATGATATTGCCTAGCTTCTTATAAGTAAAAAAGGCATGCATCAGTAGCAGCTTCAAAAAGGCCATATCAAAGAACTTTACAAAAATGACAATGTTTTTTCTGTATATATAGTGCCTGAAATTTGAAGAAAGGTGAGGGCAGAGGCTCAAACAGGAACTAAGAAAATCTAGTTTCTTCTAGTTAACGTGACTCTCGTGCAAATATATTTCCATAGACAAATGACAAGCACATGTAAAAATACACATCTGTCAGTTCATTTGGGCTCTGAAAGCACAAATAAGGTACAACCTAGGTTTTGTCCCTACTGCAAACTACTCAAAGTTCTTGTAATACTCTTCTAATATCCAAATACTCTAAGAAATATTTCTTTTAATTACCTTCTTTTATTTTAATAAAAAGTTCTTTCCAAGTCAGAACGCATTTTTGGAAGTAGCTCACACTATGTTAAAGCAACTTTAACACCGTATTAGCAGGATATGAACTTTATGACAAGGGACTGAGTCAGGTCTCACTGTGGACGTGAGCTAGAAAACTCAAGAGACAATGTTCTATGCCACAAGACAGATGAAACCCCACACTAATCTATGCCATATTATCTGTCACCTGCATATGGGGATATAATTGTTTGTGTTCTAAAGGATTAAAGTTATACTAAAAAAGTGAAGGTTCAATTCCTCTTTGTGTAGTTTTTGGCTTCTTTTATGTCTTTTGCAACAGAAAAACACGAAACACTTTGATATCACACACAACAGTGCAATAAAAGTCCAGTTTGATACTTAATAAAGTGTGGAAGGATTAATACACTCTGATTTCTCATTTCTAGCTTTCCGGTATGCTGAGGCTTTAAAGGAACAGGGCCCTTGAATGGCAAACTTCCTTTTTCTCTTTTTTTCATTTTCATCTTTAGCTCTAAGAGTGGAAGAAAAATACACCATATAGCATGGGGACCAATGTCATATGCAATAAGAGAGCCCTGCAAATGCTGTCACTATGAAACAATGCCATGCAGAATAGTCTCAATGTAGCAGTGGCTTTCAAATCAATAAGCAGTAGAAGAAAGACATCTGAAAATACAGTCTTTAAAAACAAACATTCAAAAAGGCAAGATTGAACCATTTTTGAAAATCTGAGAAGGCTGCATGGCCCAGCATCTGCTGAATTTTTCACAACTTGTAGTCTAAATCCAATATTCAGGTTTTCGTCACTTGAATTAAGGAACGATTTCATCCAGAGATTGTCCCTTTAATTACAGAAACTAAGGTTTGAATCCAAAGAAGCTTATTAGCTAAATTAGACAACAAGGAACTCAGACTCAGATTTCTTCTTCTCCCACCAGAGAACTGAAGCACGCTGTGCACTCTGACTATTATGAGTGGTCAGATATTATCTAGCAATCAAAAGGAAAAATAATGTAAAACTGAGTACAAAAAGGTCTTATAATAAGCAAAAAGGTGGATGTGCCAGTATGAACAACCACACAGGATGCACAATTTAGTGATGAAATATTTCCAACAAGTGTCTTGTGTACACGTAGCACTATACCTACTAAATAATGAACTCAGAGGATGTTGGCACAGAGAGGAAAATAAAAAGGTGATTAATATTTGAGTGAGATGCCGTTCCAAGGACTTTGTCAAAAGCACAATTCCAATCAATGGATATTATTGCATAGCAGCTCAATAAAACTGTAAGATACTTCAATGAAAACCTACCATTATCTTCATGCACAATAAGATGCCTTGAGATGCAAACATTGAGAATGATCAGGGCCACGAAGAAGCCTAAATGCACACCACTCTCATAATTCAAATGCAAATTCTATGTACCCAAACTGCATCAATTCAAGAAAAAGTCAAACTCATGAAAACTTTCTTAATATGTTGCACAAAGTATCAAAAAGATTGAAAATAGGATTAGCAAAGGAGAATGTACCATTCAATGAGTATTGGAAAAGATGCTTATCAAAAATTTATCAGGCGAAGTAAGTCTGAGAAATGCTGGTAACAGATGGGAGCTGTCTCAGCAAAAAAAATGTTGCTAGTTTGACTGTTTCTCTAGCTGAGGATAAAAGTGTTCTGGGGGGGAAAAAAAAAGTCTGATTTTTCTTACCTCTTCCTTCTCTGCACTTTGCAAGTCCCTCCACTCCTCAGTGACGTGACCAAAGTCCACTGTGTTCATCGCAACCTTATATTCCCCAATGATATCATGTTTGGAGAAACGATCAAAGTCATAAACTGCCATCACTAAAGTTTTTCCACCCAGCTCGGAGTATGGCACCTGCAAAGAAGAGAAAATGACAAACTCCGAATCTGAGACAATAAAGATCAGTCCACTACAATGCAAATCTATTTCTTTGGTTTATCAGCTGTCATCTCAGGTAAATTGAACTGCAGAGAAAATTATGAGGTGTATTTGTTTCAGAGTCACCAGATGCAGTATTTTTTGAGACCAGGCTCTGGCACTCGATAGAACAATGTGGCAGCTCACTCATCACTCCCCGTGTTTTTCTCATTCCACTTCAAATGATTTTGTGGGTGATGAAACTGAAACAGGAAGCCCAATTATTTGCACTGAAGACACATGAACTTTTCACACAATGGTGTCTTTTCCTCAATAAATCAACTGTCATCACGCAGAAATGGGTAGCTCCCAGACTGATGAAAAAACCAGAACTGGCTTACTGTATCTGACACAAAGTAATTAGACACTAAATAGTTATCTTACAGTACCACTACCTATTACTTACCAAGGCATATTTTTCATTATTATACCTTTCACACTGTAGACACTAAGGTGCTTTTAAGTCACAGTATACAGCTAGAAATTGTGGTGGCAGAGGGCCAAGTTCTGGCTAATTCTCCAGCTGTTCTGATGTGTTTCAGACAGATGCTGTGGGTTAGGATGCTTATGAGTCACATTTTTAATATTCAGATGAAGACGTGCAGTTCAGGTAAGCTACACTTGAGTGGCTACCTGGAGAGGTCTGACTTAGGAATTGTTTGGACTTACATTGAACACTTGGTCAATTCAAATATATTCTGAAAGTATAAATGGTTTCCATGGGCTTCAGTAAACATTTCTGTATTAATTGTCTATATAAAAAGAGAAATGAAAGCGTGGCATTATCATTGGCCTTGTTAACCGCTGTATGTTCCGGTCTGTTTAAATCCTAGGACTGTTGTCTTTTGTTTGGCTTCAACTTGCTTTTTAAAATACTCACTAATAACATGAGTAGTTTTCTTTTGTCATAACATGTTATATAATGTTTAAAAGAAGCTTTTCAAGTTGAGAGCCAGCTCCAGCTTCCACTAATGAGTACAATAGTTTCAGTGGGTACAGGGGTAAATACTACAGCAAAATCTATTTTGATTCTGTAAATTATTTGTAGCTTCTAAAAAGCTATAGAAGGCAAATATATGTGGAAGGCAAAATTCTAAATAATTTCACTTTTATTTTTTTGCAGCCTCAAAAACAGGAGAAGAGAAATGTTCTGAAGTTTCTTTCTCCATCAGTTTACAATACCACTTAATGGATTCTGGTCATTAGGAATGCATGAAAAGACTAAATTTATCATTATTTACTTTTTTTTATCATTAACTCGACCTCAGTAAAGCTTATTTTAGCTACTTTCCTTTTTAAAGAGGATCTACTGGCAGTGCTTCCTCCATTCATTACCTCTAAAGCAGCCTCAGCCTACAGCTTTGTTCAGGACAACCAAGGATGTCCTCAGCTCTGGTGAAGGATTGCTCCCTCTCCCTGCTTTCTGCTCTGCTCAGAGATACTCAACCTCTTGACTTAATGCAGGTGAGACCTTGGTAGAAGGACACGTATAGGAGTGTTTTTCTGGCACAGACATGTCACTCCTCCAGACATGAACCCTCTTCCTGGGCCTGGGGAGAAACATCTCTCTCTGCCAGACTGGTGTAGTCCAGCTAGGATTTCTCAGTTTCCTTTTGGTATACAATTCAGACAGCTGGAGCCTGACGAACACCTCCACCCTGGAACGGCACCATGGATGTCTGGGAAACAGAAATGAAAAGGGGACTAACATGGGGAACCACCCAAAGAAGAGAAGGAATGAGGTCCCGGGCTCAAGATGCAATACAGCAGAAACATAACCCATCTCATCCCCATTAGCCCTTCTTTGGGAGGAAGGCAGGCAGCTCACAGCTCTCCTTTCGGAGAAGGTGACAAAATGGGCCTGGGCTGTCTGGTGGGCAGCTCTGCCAAAGAGAGAGATGGGAAGGATGCCAGCAGAAGCTGTGCACCACCTGAAGTGTGTCACAGAAGTAAGGCTCTGCCCAAGTAAACGAGATATTGTCAGTAGTTCCCACGGAAGTTAGTTATTACAGTTGCAGCACTAGTTAAATGGTCGCTTCTCTTTTTCACTGTAGCCCCCAGAACAACGATAGTACTTGGCATGCTCCGTTGGTTTTCTCTTGAGTACAGACCACAGTATCCCCGGGATGATCAGTACCACATTAGGATGCACCTAAACACTCTGTCAGGTCTTGCGTGGAAAGCAAACTTTCTTCTGGAGCATAACATTTGAATATTAAAGATGTGACTTAAAACAAGTGGGCATTATAGCCCAGGAGTGGATGATCTGATTTATAATTTGTGCCTTTGTCTTAGATGACAGCATTATTGGTTCTTTCTTTTCTTCTGTGAGCTGCGTGGCAATCTGTAATTTATAACTCTGTTTTCTTTTAAATACTCTCTTAGGAAAGCTCAAGAAAAAAATAACTCCCCACAAAAGATTATTTTTATGAACATCTTCAAGGGAAAAAATAAGCTTATATATGCAATAGTAGTTCTGGCCTCCAGGGATATCTTTCTCATTGAATGATTACATAGCCTGAGTCTTTCACTGTTCCTGTTTTCAGTCTGTAGCTGTCATTATAAGATTGGGCATAGAGAGAAAGGCCTAAAGTAACAGCAGAGGAATGTGTATTAGGAGAAGCCCTATGAAACATGCTGTATAATATTCTTTTACTGTATTTAACTGGGGTTTAGGTATGGCTACAGTTTGAGAAAAACACTATTGATAGATACTATTGGAATGACTTAAATAGCTACATTTATTTAATTCATATGTTACTAAACCTGAGACATGATTTCTTTTCATATGTAAAATAGCATGGCAAAGAATTGCCATGACAAAGTCTAACAAGATTAATCTGCCATATTGTACTTCATCTATTTACCTTCCTTGATTTTAATTTATTTCTGTGGTGAAAAGAAATGGTATACTGAAATTCATAAATCAGACTACAAAGATATTTAAAGAAAATGCTGGTCTAGTGAAATTTACCTGACATTTGTCAAAGTGTCACTATTTTGTGACTTACTTGTAAGTTTTATCCAGCCATAAAATATGGATCAGATTGTCATACATCAGGATAACTGAAGTGCCTAAAATCAAACTGTGCCTTTTACACCTACTGAGGGCTGACCTTATGTTATACCATTTTCATCATAAGATTGAATATCAGAGGTTTCTACAACATGAAAAATCACTACGCTGCAGTTACCAATTAACTAAGATATCTAACTTTGTAGCCAAGCATGAGATACATAGTGGTTAAATAAAAATGTTTCAATAATTATAAAAAAAATACCTTGAATGTAAATTGCTCATTGAAAACTGGGTTAAGGGTCTTTCTGTGGACTTTTGTCTCGTATTTCTTCTTCTTATCAGGCAGCAGAAAAACTTTCACATAGGGATCGGATGTACCACCCATATCTAAAGCAGGCAGCTCAGCTGCTTGAATAATCCCAACCAGAAGCTGAAAAGAGAGAAAAACAGCAGAATGAAATTTCAAATAGATATTTATAAAAAAAGTGTAACAGAGAAATACACATGCAGACTCTATTTCTGGTCTATGAAAAACTATTCCCCCCCTTGCCTTCAAGGAAGGCAAATGAAGCAACACTACAGACTTTAGAAAACCAATTATGGCAGATGCAGACTGTACAAAGGCTGTTTTGAAGGAGAAAAGAGGTTTTCAAAGGGCAGCTGATTACATCTAAATACAGACTTCATCTTTTTAAAGACTGCAATCAAATAACTTTCAATTGCTCTCTCCTCTTGTGCATTATTTTTCTATGCTGGGCACCATGAATAGAAATCACATTATTAAACAATCAAGAATGTCTAATTTTGACCACAAAATTTGTATTCTAAATCCCCAACATGTAACCTTCCCCCCAACCAAACACAAAAAGGTGGTACGTCAAATGCAAATCGTTAGGCAGAGCTTTATTGAAAAAAAATGGATCTTGCAGTCTTCCCATATTTAAATTCTCTTGCTATGCATACAAATAGGTTTAGGTAGTAAACTAAGGACAGCATTTTCAAAAAATACCCCATGAAAACTAACCTTTGGTAACTAAATCCTAGTAACAATTTGTAATCTCATTGCAAAACAGAAAAATTAGTTTCTTAAATCTCTTTTAAAAATAAGACTGAAGCACATGTGAAATTTGTAAATGCCTTGGCCATTTTTTAAATGTTATAAATGAATGCTTATGTTATGTTATGTTATGTTATGTTATGTTATGCTATGCTATGCTATGCTATGTTATGTTATGTTATGTTATGTTATGTTATGTTATGTTATGTTATGTTATGTTATGTTATGTTATGTTATGTTATGTTATGTTATGTTATGTTATGTTATGTTATGTTATGTTATGTTATGTTATGTTATGTTATGTTATGTTATGTTATGTTATGTTATGTTATGTTATGTTATGTTATGTTATGTTATGTTATGTTATGTTATGTTATGTTATGTTATGTTATGTTATGTTATGTTATGTTATGTTATGTTATGTTATGTTATGTTATGTTATGTTATGTTATGTTATGTTATGTTATGTTATGTTATGTTATGTTATGTTATGTTATGTTATGTTATGTTATGTTATGTTATGTTATGTTATGTTATGTTATGTTATGTTATGTTATGTTATGTTATGTTATGTTATGTTATGTTATGTTATGTTATGTTATGTTATGTTATGTTATGTTATGTTATGTTATGTTATGTTATGTTATGTTATGTTATGTTATGTTATGTTATGTTATGTTATGTTATGTTATGTTATGTTATGTTATGTTATGTTATGTTATGTTATGTTATGTTATGTTATGTTATGTTATGTTATGTTATGTTATGTTATGTTATGTTATGTTATGTTATGTTATGTTATGTTATGTTATGTTATGTTATGTTATGTTATGTTATGTTATGTTATGTTATGTTATGTTATGTTATGTTATGTTATGTTATGTTATGTTATGTTATGTTATGTTATGTTATGTTATGTTATGTTATGTTATGTTATGTTATGTTATGTTATGTTATGTTATGTTATGTTATGTTATGTTATGTTATGTTATGTTATGTTATATAGACATCCCAGCCTGTATTAAGCCTCATCAGCATAATGGAGTTGAGAGAAAGAAAATACTTTTAAACTTGTTTCATAGGCACAGACCTAAGGTAAACATTCAAGTGACTCTTCAAGGTCAATCTGGAGACAAGATATTAAGAACCGGGAATGAAATCTGAGAATATTTTCTTCTAAATCAGTGCTTCAGGCACAATATATTTGTTTCTCTCATGGATGAATTGTTTAAAATTGGAAACAGAAGCTCTAACAACTGGAATACAGAACAATATAGTCAATCTAGGAAAAAAAGCTTCTGCCTTCTCAGAGATTCCTCAAAGTTAGACTTATTTTTACCAGTTTTAAATTCACAGTATGGCCTGCATGCTTTCCCACCTATAGGACTCTTAAGCCCCATGAAACATTTTCCTTTAGCTGTAAGAAACACTTCTCCTTTTCTGTCTCATTCTTATTCTAGATGCATAACAGTTCATAAATACATGGATAGGCTCAGGATCTACATCAAGTCTTTCACATCCAAGAGTGAAAAACAAGTCTATGACTTTTAGTTAACAGACTGGAAAAGCAATTCAATTCCCTTTTAAAATTTCTCTCTCTAAAACTGAGGCATCGTGCTCTGGAGAGTACATCTTGTCTCCATTCTTAATCCTGTGCAATATATTAGCCAGATTTTTGGTCTGTAGTTTCATGGCACTGTGCTATACTAACCTAACTGAATCCTCTCTTCTACTCTTCTATATTATCTATCCTCTGACAAATGCCAAGCTGCAACATAGTTTAGAGCAGCAAAATAAAATAGGAATACATAACTCAAATAATTTATTACCTTAACTAAATACTACATACTTTTACAGATTTGTTGCTCTCCCATCCTATTTCACTTTATAAAATATAGTTCACAAAATCAACATTTCCTGTAATAAAATTCACACAGAAAGTTTGTTTTCATTTTCTAAGGAAACTGAAATCCATTTGTCAGAACACATTTGCAGCTTTTCCTTTCCCTCTCTTTAGGTCTTCTGCTTCTGAAGGGTCTTATGCTTCATACTGATTTCATACTGATTTCAAGGGGGATCAGTGTGACTTATCACATGGCCAGGGAATTTGCTCTGGGAGTCAAGGAAAAGCTCCTTTAACCACAGGTTCTTGAAAGGCTTCGGAATTCTTTTTGGCTCTTGCATTGAAAAACGAGCACTGGTAGTCAGAAGATAGTTGAAAAGACAGGGAAATACTATGTGTTATGCCACATCATAGCTGTGTGTAAATACCCTGCTGCTGACACAGAAATATTTCTTAATTTCTCTTATTTTCTTTGTCTTCCAACAAGTAAGTGTACTGTATTCCGTGAACAGCATCAGATAAAGAATCTGAATATGGAAATAAATCACAAGTACATGCGGAATTCAGTTCAGACGAAGAATAGGCATTTAACAGGGAACAGGGATTTAAACTCAGTAGTATTTTTTCCCTAAATAGAGAAGAATGATGTGGTTTTGACTGAAGTTGTCAAAAAATGAAATGCAGGATATGTATTCTCAAGTTCACTGAAAGACATGCAGTAGAAGCGAAGAAGTCAGATGTGTTGGCATACTTCGGTCCAAAGTTAAGCACAGTGAGTTTTAATGTGAGGCTGTGAATTGGTATAATTGGCAAAAGTGATCCCAACCACAGCAAGAGGCCAGGGAGGGGAATTAAGTTTGAGCTAGTTCAGGATGTGGCTAGACCCAGATTCTAGGTCTACATGACATTACCCTGTCTATTTCTGCTGAAAACTTGGGTAAGTATGCCAAAGTTTGGTCTTACCAGCTTCAGAATAGGGTACTGAAGGAGTACCAGTCCTTGACTGGAGAGATTCTTCTTGTCCAACTTTCCTGGTTTTTTTGGGACAGACCTTTTTATTTGAACTTTTTTTCCAAACTAAAATTTTCTTGGCTAGCAGGTGTACTTTCACAGAGAGCAACAGAACCTGATGCAGCTAGTTAATAAGGCAAAGTGCACACTTGATGAAGTGAGAGAAAGCTACTCCTGGCAATCTTATCAACTTGCTAAAAGACCCACAATGAATCAACTTATTTTTATGTCCCTCTCTTTTTCCTCCCATCTTTTGTTTGCTTACAATTTAAATACCTGAAGGCTGAAGCTATCTTTTACTGTCTGCATGCAGACTCCATAATATAATGTGGGCTGACATTGATTGGTGACGCCTTAATATAAGTTATTAATAACCATTAGATAAAACTGTGTCTTCAATTTTGATTCAAAGTGTAATATAAACTCCAAGTACATTGAATACCAATTTAGTAGTACCTCTGTCATGAATCTTCAGTCTTGCTTTCTCCCTTTACTCCGTGCAAGCAGTAAGGATTTCAGAAATATCTACTGTAACTAAATGTATTACTTCATTCTCCCCTTGCACGCACAGAAATGAAATATTACAGGTTGGTTGTTTCAAACCTGATTGTTCTGGAAGTCATAATCCAAAGAATATTGGATTTTCCCTAGTTTCTCCACTTCTTTGGGCTCTTCTTTCTCTTCCCCATCAGTCAGCCCAGTTTCAGCATCATCATCCTTAAGAGCCTAGAAAGAAGGAATGTAATACTCATAAGTAAGGCAAACTCTTAAGTACCAGTTTAAAATAGACACTGTCCTCAAATCTATTTTAAAGCCATTAAAAGCAAGCATGACAGCAGAAATCCAAATATGCAGTTTACATACATATTTATACTATTTAGGTTGCTCAAGAAGATGTTATAAATCAGCAAGCAAGCAATGGAAGTAGGAAGAAAGCTTCTTGGACTATTACAAGCAACAATTGTTATAAAACCTGAAAGTAGAAACAAAATATCAACTTTATATCAAAAAACTCTTCTGGGCTCACACTGGCTCTTAAAGAGGCACAAGGAGGCAAACATGCTATTAAATAAGCAAAGTCACACATTCATTCAACTTAAGAATATCTTGGCAATGTCAAACCTGGTTGTGCATGCTGTGAATTGTTTGCAATTGGCAACGCATTTCTGTAGGATTACTATGATAAAGAGCATGTGCTGTGGATGAGTTCTTCCTACAATCATACGCCAAACATTTTTCACGTTTATTTAGAATGAATATGGAGCAAAGTTTTCACCATGCCGTTAGCAAATGCATATTTCTCCTTTTCCCTCCCTCCTGAGACCAATTTCCTTTTTATTCATTCTCGCTATAAAGCTTGGCTGAACCAAATTGATTGAAAGTTGATTTTAGTTTGCTTAGAAAGAAACACAAACATAAAGAAATACAGAACTGCTTACAGCTTTGTCTATTGCATAAAACCTGCTATTTTTAAAGGACACAGCAGTTATCTTAGATTTTATACATAATTAAAATACTAAATGATGTAATCTTTTTTTTTTGCTGTACCAGAAAGCAGAAGTATTTGCAGTGGAAAAGGCAATTCATACAATTATTAAACCATATGAACCATAACTAACTATGTAGATCTTACTCCAGCAGATTCTTACTTGGGTAAGAACTGAAAAATGGGCAAAAGTGATGAGACAAATAGTGAAAAATTGTGGAAAAGGTGAAAATAAAGTTGAGAGTGTGAAAACAAGGAATCAATACTGAGCATTCATCTGGAACTGTTATTTGCATGTTATTGTAAAGAGTATGCTTATCTATAAGAGCCCTATCCGGATGAAAGTTCCTTCTATATGGAGCTTCTGCTTGCAGAAACAGACTATTAAGTGCAAGATTAAGATTTGTTGTTCTTTCTTTTTTCACAATGTGAGGTGGTCTGAAGAAACCTACAGAATATGTAAAAAACAGGCTGCAGCTGGAGCTCTCTATCCGAAGAGATTATCAAGGCTGGAAAGTAGCTATACCCAGGGTTGATGGTGGTTGGTGAAAGAAAGAACATGAAAGCATTAGCATTCTCCTCAGCCATGAAGGCAGTGGGGGCCATGCAACAGTTGTGTGGGTGTGGTAAGAGGAAAGATTGATCTCCGAGGTAGAAAATGTTATTTTTCAAAAGCCAGATCTAAATTCAAAAGGTCAGACTCAAAACTGTACAATATTAAGCAATTATTTCTCTACTTTTTGAAATAAGCTAGAAATTCAGCTGGCATAGCTCAACTGAAATCAATGCAACAACATTGATTTATGCAAGCTGAGGAGCTGGGTTTGAGTTAAATATCTGAATGTTAGTGAATGATGGACTCTTTACTAGGAACATAAATTACAGTGCACCTGGATAAGATCGGTGGGAAAGGTTGGTAGTGGATGAGAATGACCTGTGATGTTGGAAGAGTAATACTTTTTGAACTAAACCATTTCTATTTGGAAGGGCTGAACTGCCTGAAATGAAAATTATTTTGAGACATTTTAATCGCCGAGGTGCTAGTGAGTTCTCTGGCTGTAGCACAACATTTTTGTTAGTACAACAACAAGCGTGACACTTCAAAACTGGCAGGCTCTATGGCAAGAGGATACTGTTGGAGCAAAGCCAGTTTGAGGCACAGCCCCTGCAGGACCATACGTGGGACTTTCAAGATATGGGGTGATGTGACTACGCCAAACACCTTGCTTTCATTGGTAATAAAAATAAGCTTGAGGTTTTGTGATCATCAAAGCAAAAAAAAAAAGATGTGACTCAGTCTAACTGAAGCAACTACATTTATCTGAGCCTGGAGACAACAGGAAGCAATAACTCAGAGTGGGATGTTAACTCCAAGACCCACTGCTCTGAATCATCCCAGTATTGCCCTAATAGAGGACTCCATGATAGAAGGGTGATAAACATCTCCAGTATATCAATCTTTCTGGGATAAGTACTGGACTTTCTGCTATTCCATCTACTTTTGACCTGGATTTTGTTTGAGAGGAAATATCCTACAGCCATTCCTCAGGGATAAAAGGGAGAAGGCAAAAAGAACCTTCTATGTTAATTTCCAGGTATGAGGAATTTGTAACTATTGCATCAAGGCAATAGTTACATATCCATGCTTTTTCTAGAATAATTATATACTCCTCTGCATAGCTGATCAATCCAGGAGATGCCAGAGCTGTGGGTAACTCACTGTGAAAAAGTTCTTACTATAACTATGGAAAATACAATGGGAAGCTAACGTCCCTCTTGCAAGGGAGTTTTGAAGTGCAGGCAGAAAACATTGTGTGGTTGGGAAAATCTTCTCCACAGGTTATGAGAGGCCTATTGGAAGGTGAAAGCAATTTCCCAGGGGAGATCGAAAACATTGCACGTTACTCACATCAGCTAAGGAGCTATATGATTCTTCCTGACCTTGACTCAGAAACACTGAAGCGCTAAAAAACAATAAGACGGTGTTCAGATTCGGCCAAGGTTGTGGCGTGGGGGGAGGGAAGAAATGACAAATTATTATCTCTACAGCAGTCTGTACATAATAGTTTTTACCGTCAAGAGAGGAATTTGCTTTCAAACTAGAGGCCAATGCTTGAAGAAGAAGCTGAGTCAAAGGAAGCACAGAAGTTTCTCATGTTTCATGCAGCTGCTGAGTTCCAAAGAGGAAGAAGAATTGGATTGCTTCAAAGTACTTGAAACACCCCGTAGGGATTTTCATTTTGTATTGAGATTCTCTGAAAGATCAATATTTAATGGAATAGTACTGCAACCCTCAATTTATAGCACACTATATCACACTATATTGGATCTTACTGTTGTATTGCTACAATCAATTAAAATAAGCAGCTATATTTTATTGGTTTTAGAAACAATAAAGTATTTTTAATTATAAGCCAGCTTTTTCCTCAAGCCTCTTCAACTGACACAACTGTGATGAGAAAGCCTGGATTTAGATGCAGAGGAATATAAGCCTTTCCTTTCCTAACATTTCTTTTAATTCCATGACATGTTAAATGCTTTTTCTGTGAAATAGGCAACACAGAAATGCATTATTACATTGTGCTGGAGACCAGATTTATCTTTTCTAATTTGGGATGACTGTGAATTTCACTTAAGTGGTTTCTTCGTTTCTGCACAACATATGCAGAAACACACAACAATGAAACCTCTATATCCTCTATATCCTCTTACATGTGTGTAAGTATCTGAAAAACATAGGCTTATACCGTAAGCAGGTGTAGGAATGTACAAAAAAAGCGTTAATCCAATACAACCATTACAAGGCGATACATCCACATCTAATGAAATCAGCAAGTGGGAAAAGTTACTTTGTGCCAGGGACCTTAACAGAGCCACACAATATGCAATATATGTTTTCTTAGACCTGGAAGACAAAGTGAATTTTTGAGCAACCTCTCATTTAATCCATATTTGAATGAGCTCTGTAACTAGTTCTAACCAAGGGTGCAGACATAAATCTACATATGGCATTAGGATTTTCTTTTCTGTGCCTTGTTTAGTTAACCGTTTTCAAGCTCATCTACTCTGTAGTGGTTCCTACAACAAACAGGGCTAAATTACAGCAATCTGGGATCCACAGTTCAATCTGCTGGCTGTTTCTTCACTTCCGTAATATAATTAAGAGTGGTTTTACAGTCTCCTCTTTTCTTCAGGGTTCTTAAAGAAAATGATTTTCAATTTTTTTGTAGTTGCATCTTTTGCACAAAAAGAGGAAAAAACCCCAAAACTGCCTGTAATTGCAGTTCTGCAAACTCCACACCTTGCAGTGGGGTTCTACATTTCCTGGGCTTCCTCCCCCTCCCATTCCCCCAGCCGACAAAAGCCTCTCTCCAGTGACGCTGCCCTCCTAATACTGCAAACATCCCTTGCTTCCAGCTCAGTTCCACCAAAAGCCCTGCACCCTGTCACTGGGTTTACCCCACTACTATCCACCACAAACCACAAGAGAGATTCTGGGGATTAAGAGAGCTTTACGTACACTTTCATTTAATCCCTCCCAAAACTACGTGTAGAAATCAAGGGCGTCTGCAAGGGATTTAGCCCAGTTGGTCTGCTGGTTGCCTCCAGATTCTACGTGTGCATGAAGCCCCAGGAAAGCAAACTAACATGAGACTCAGGTAACAAAGCTGCTGGAGGGGGCAAGTGTACTTCCTTGCCTCCTCTGCAGCGAGGCAGAGGCTACAATCAGGTCCGAGTCACCAGGAGGATGCAAAGACCCATGAAGGTGTATTTTGGTCTTTGATTCAGGTCTCATATGTTTCATTGCTAACACCTAGTTCATGTCACAAGCTATTTAGGACTGCAAGCAAAGTGCCCTTCACTGTCGTATGTAAAAAGCCACTTTCATTAACAGAGCTTTTAGGGTTCCTTCCATTCATGGGGTGGCCTATGGCGTCACTTTTAAGGAAACAAGTTACCAGTAAGCAAGAAGGAGAGACGTTAAGAAGGAAAACATCACGCTGACTGCAGCCTGTAAGTTTATTTGCCGTGCAGTGCATGCTGCTGTCCCGAGTTCCATCTCCACCTGCCCCATCAATCATTCCTTGTGTTCACATGGTGAAGGGGATATTTTTTTAATGTGTGAATGATGCCCAGTCCTCAGGCTTGTGCAATGCCTGCTGAGCTGAATGGAAGAAAACAATATCATTTTGTAGCAAGAATGTTCTGTGCCATGTCCAACAACGAATTTATCAGAAAG